TTTTCATAATCTTTACTTTTTCCTCTATTTTGTGACTATACTCAGCTTTCCTGTGAGCATTCCAATTACCAGTATTTTGAACTGTCTCCTCATCACTTAGTTGTATTTTTTTTTTCTGGAGTTTTGATCTGTTCTTTCATTTGGGCCATTATTTTTTTTTGTCTGGGTGTGCCTGTTATGTTCTATGGGGGAGAGCCTTAGCTTTTTGCCAGGGTGGGACTACCCACATTGTTGCATTGTGGCACTCTATGTGGGGAAGAAGTATGCTAGGGAACAATGCCACCTGCTCAGCTCTCAGCCAGCTTTCAGTCACTTCCTCCACTACCCACAAGCAAATTGGGCCCTTCTGGTGCTGATTTCCAGGTGGGTGGTTTTGTGTACATTCTAGGACCCCATGGGTCTCTCCAGTGAACTCTCCTGTGAGGCTTGGAGTTTCTCCTGCTACCTCAACCCCCACAGGTCTTTTCAGCCAGTGGCTTTGAGGCTTTATTTCCCCACAGTGGAACCCAGAGCTGTGTGGTGTGTCTCTCTCCCCAGTTGTTCCTTCTGGTTTATCTGCACACAAATGTGGGAGAGTCCACCCCTCCAGCCACCTAGCATTGCCCAGTCCACCGCCACCATCTTGCCCACCCCGGTCCTCCAGCTGCCATGAGTCCTGCCATCTCAGCTGCCTGTCTCTGCCCTGCCTACCAGTCTGGATGAATGTTTTGTATTCAACTCCTTGGTCATCAGATTTCCATACAGTTTGATTTTCTGGCAGTTCTGGTTATTTTTTGTTTTTAAATTTGTTATTGTTGTTCTTTTGGTTGTGTGAGGAGGCAAAATACAACTATGCCTCCATCTTGGCCGGAAGTCTTCTTCTTGTTCTGATTGGTTGTTTTTTGCTTCTTTATGTTCCAAATCATTGATTTGATTCTTGGCTTCATCCACTCTACTATTATTTCCCTGTAAATTGTTCATTTCAATTAGTGTGTCCTTAGTTTCTGACTGGACCTTTTTTATGCTGCTGAGGTCTTCACTAAGTTCCTTGAGCATCCTTATAAACAGTGTTTTGAACTCTGCATCTGACAGATTACTCACCTCCATTCTGTTTGGTCCTTTTTCTGGAGTTTTGTTCTGTCTTTCATTTGGGCCATGTGTCTTTATCTTCTCATTTTGGCAGCTCTGTGTTTGTTTCTATGTATTAGGTAGAGCTGCTATGACTCCCTGACTTGGTTAGCATGGCCGAATGTAAATAGGTGTCCTGTAGGGTCCAGTGGCACAGCCTCCCTATCATGCAGACTGGGTACTTGAGGTGCACCCTTCATGTGGGCTGAGTATACCCTCCTCTTGTAGTTGAGCCTTGATTGCTGTTGGAAAGTCAATAGGAAGGATTCATCCAGGCCAGTTAAGCTGCAAGTTCTGGCTGTGACCACTGGCCACCAACCTCTGCCATCTGTGGAGGATCAGCTGTACAGGGGCAGGATAGTGGTACTCCAACATGGTCTGTAACTGTCCACTGGGTGCATACACTCTGGGGTTTCCAGGGTGGTACAGGCCAAGGTCAGGTTCTGCTGAAGGCCACCCTTCATGAGTTATAAAGAAGTCTGAGATGGTTGCTACTTGTGCTTGGCTTGGAGATTTCTAGATGAAACCAAGCTATAATTCTAGGCTGGCTGCTGCTAGTGCTGGGCCCAGGGCCACTAAGCAAGAGGTTTGTGGGCTGAGGTGGTCACTGAGGCCAGTTGTTGCTTGTTTGATATAATTTAGGAAGTTGTGAAGCATGAGCCAAGACCAGCCATGCATATGGAAAAGTCTCTTTCAACAGTTTGGGTGGGCCCATAAATTGGGTGGGATGGAGCATCAGGGAATGTCTGGGATGGTCAAACAATGTTAACTAGGTTGATGGAGTCTCAGATATGGCACCGACCTGGTGGCTCTGTGGCTCTGTTGGGGGAGATCTCAGAAAGCGGACAGGGGCTTCTGCTCAGCTTTCTAAGCAAAAACTGTCCTCCAGCTCCTGCCTTGACGCCAGACACTTCAGTTCCTCCCTGTGTGCCACTGGTGCCTTTCAAGCTGCTACCCTGGTGCCAGAGCCCAGAGAGTGTGAGTCTGAGAAAGTCTGCATGCGGGATCTTTAAAGGGAACTGCTTGGGACTCCAACAGTTTCTTCCACTGACTCAAACCCTTCTGGTTTTTGCAGCCAGAAGTTCTTGGCACTCAAACCCTGGCTAGGGGGCCTGGTGTGGGGCTGGGACTCGTCACATATGAGATATCCCTCCCAAATTTTTATGCACCATATGCGGATGTGAGACCAGCGCAGTCCACGTTTCTACCCCTTCTACAAGTCTGGATGGATGTGGTTTCTTTAAATCCATAGTTGTCAGACTTCCATTCAACTCAATCTCTGACAGTTCTGAGTAACGGTTGTTCTATATTTTAGTTGTAATTTAGATGTGGTTGTGCAGGGAGGTGAGCTGTGTTTATCTACGCTGCCATCTTAACCATAAGATAAAAGCAGTTGGTTACCTACAGGGGAGTTCCCCTAAGACTGTCAGCTGATTTCTGGAAAGAAACTTTACAGACTAGAAGGGATTGACAAGAAATATTTAAAGCCATAAAAAACAGGGACCTACAGCCAAGATACTCAGGAAAGCTATCATTTACAATCCAAAGACCAATAAAGAGCTTCCCAAACAAGAAAAAAAACTAAAGGAGTTCATCATCACCAAACCATTATTATATGATATGTTAAAGGGACTTATTTAACAAAAAGAAGATCAAAACTATGAACAATAAAATGGAAATAAATACATATTTACCAACAATTGAATCGAAAAAACAAACTAAGCAAACAAGAAGAATAGAGATAGGATCATGGATACAGAGAGGGTTTTGATGGTTGCCAGATGGGAGGGGGATATGTGGGAATGGGTGAAGAGGTGAGGGGAGTACAAACAGGTAGTTACAGAATAGCCATGGGGATGTAAAGTACAGTATAGAAAATGGGGTAGCCAAAGAACTTATATGCATGGCTCATGGACATGAACAGTGGTGTGGGGATAGCCTGAGGGAGTGGCAGTGTTCTGTGGCAGGGGGCAAAGGGGAAAAAAATCCAGACAACTGTAACAGCATAATCATAATCACAGCATAAACACAGCATAAAATATAGTTAAAGATAGAATTATATACATATATATTTTAAAATATAAATATACTATATATATTTAGTCTGTTTGGAGAAAGTCCAACTATTATTAATATAATGAGAAATGTTTGCATGACATCAATATAATCTACCAGCCAAGGAGAGTGAACTGGAATACACATGTGTGAACAGTGACGACTTCACTGTACTAGTCAGTAGGGCAGGTAGATGCTGTTGAGTGAGAATGTGTATTGTGTGGCCATTGCATTCAAAATGACTGAGTGAGTAAAGCAAGGAATCTGCATCAAATTTTGCGTTAAGCTTAAACATTCCTCTGCAAAAACTATTCAGATGATTCAGAAGGCCACAGCTACAGGCAACTGGTGATTGGCAGCTTCATCACAACAATGCACGCACTCATGCATCACATCTTGCCCAGAGTATTTTGGTGAAACATCAAATCAGCCAGATGACTCATCCTCTCTAACAGCCCAGATTTGGTGCCCTGCGACTTCTGGCTTTCCCTCAATGCACATATCACTTTTGAAAGGGGAGAAATTTCATTCCATCAATAAGATTCAAGGAAATATGACAGGGCAGCTGACGGTGACTGGGAGAAACTGTGTGAGGTCCCAAGGTGCTTACTCTGAAGGGGACTGGGGCATCATTGTCTTATGTACAATGTTTCTTGCATCTTGTATCTTCTTCAGTAAATGTCTCTATTTTGCATATGACATGGCTGGATACCTTCTAGATAGACCATATATATATATTCCTCTTATTTGCTTGACTCTCATGTGCTTTCTTGGGAGGAAAATATTCAAAGTCTAGATAGCGCATTAGAATTTCCTCATAAACCAGGAAATATGAGTTATGTGACACATGCGTCATAGAAGAAACGCAGTTTTGAGCCATGGTAATGGACAGACCCTCAGCAGGGGTGTCTGACCTTTTGGCCTCTCTGCACCACACCGGAAGAAGAGAAGTTGTTTTGGGCTATACATTAAATACACTGCAACATGTAATCAAAACAAAAATTCATAATGTTTTAAGTAAATTTACAATTTTGTGTTGGGCAACATTCATAGCCATCCTGGGCCACATGTAGTCCATGGGCCGCAGGTTTGACACCCCTGCTAGAACATAATTAAAATAATTATTCAGATTTTATGCTTAATAACACTAGTTAAGGAGTAAGGTTTTATGCTGGCTGTTGGGGATATGATATAGGTCAAGAGAATCAGGATTCTTTTCTTCTTGAAACTTCCATTCTATTGGAGAAAACAGATCTGAGAAAATTACCCCCTACTTATTTAATTATGGTAATGAGAAGTGCTAAGAAGGCAAAGTACAGAGTACTGAGAGATAAAAGGGGTATCTCATCGACTGAAAGTCTCTGAGAAACAGAAAAGGGGCCTTGGAGAAGCAATTCTCATATGAAGTCTAAATTTAAGGCCTCCAGGTTGCATTGGAGGTGAAGCCAGGGGAGGTACAGAAAGTAGAGCGGGAAGTGGTGTCAGGGGAGAATGCACCTGTTTGCAGGAGCAAGCGTGGAAGTAACTGAACCGCAAGTCACTGAGGCTGCAGCAGGAGAACAGGCTAAAATAGGTGGATGGGTAGCAGGTGGGTCACATAGGCTTTACTAATTAATCTACATTTTTCCTATGACAAATAGAAAACCACTGAACGATCTTAAAACTAGGCATCAGTTTATTTTGTCAATTTCACCTGAACTTTTAAATTTAAACTTCTCATTTCAGTAGGTTTTCCTAGAAACACTATTGTTAAATAATTATATGTGAGATGGTTTCCCATCTCTGCTTCAAATTCAGTTCTCCAAAGACTAGGATCTGGGAAGAATACCATTGCCTACCCTGTTTCCTCTGGAAATGCAGAGATGGTGCTTCTATCCATCTGACAGGGGTCCTGAGAAGGCGAGTCAGCATCTTGTCTGTCTTGACTTGTAGCGTTATCTGTGACTCGATGCTGTTGCAAGTCCCACTGCCGGGCTATGTTGTTAATTGTTAACCTTTTCTTCTCCTGTGAAAAAGTTTATTGTAACAAGGTCATAGGGAGTTTTTGTAGCAGGAGAGTATCCGAACAGCATATTGTTTGTATTACTGTAGTCACACTTTAAAAAGGAGTCTATTCCTTAAAAGTAGCCACAAATTTGTATTCCAAAACAAAATATAACTGGCCTTTACTTCCCTTCTGCATTCCAACATCTTAATAATGGTCTATCAACCTTAAAGAAAAAAATATATATATACAAACAATGATTACTCCCCACTGGAGAGTTGAAAATTCACTACCTGGAAGTTAAGAGAAATTTATATAGTTAAGTGTTATCTGAAAATTTAATTTGAAAGAAATTTACATGTCTTTGTGTTTAAACATAGAAAGAAAAAATGATTAATATTTTAATTTTCCTATCCAATAATTAAGACTAACATGATGAAATAATCTGGGCCAGGAGGAGAGAAGGAAAGGGACTGATTAATGTTCCAAGCTTCATAGTATAAATTACAATGTCTTAAAATTAATAATTATATATAGACTACTAAAAAATTGTAATAGGTTGAAATGTTTCTAGGTAACTAGTACCATCCTAGATAAATATAAAATAATTTAGTTCATTACATGCAATGGATGCCTTAGGGGAGTGGTTCTCAAACTTCAGAGTACCTCAAACCACATGGAGAGCTCAGAACACTGATTGCTTGTTCTCGCCCCATTCTGATTTAGCGTGTTTCAGGCAGGGCCCCCAAATCTGCACTTCCAACAAACCCCCAGATGTTGCTAACCGACCTCGCTTTTAGAAGCAGAGATTAGGGTACTGGGGCTCCATTCCCTCACAGGAATCTGTTGAAAAAGCAGATCTAGACTACCAAAAAAACTATGCCAGGTTGAAATGTTCGTAGTTGACTTATATATGAATGGATTGGGAGAAATAATCACTATTCTATTTTAATCTATTCTACATTATCAAAAGTTAATATTATATGTTCTGTCAATAAGAGCAGAGGCCGAAAATAGACATTTTTCCTTTCCTCTTCACTAAGAGCACAATCATTCACTGAAAAGTCAGCAACCCTCCTCGCCTGCTCCCTCGGGAGCCCTGGGGATGTTAGGAGGACACTCGGCCCATCTGCTCAGTGCATATATACGTGTAAACAATTATTTTTAGTTCCTATTCTTTGCCTATTAGCTGGTTGTCTAAACTTTTAGCATATAGAAATGGCACTGAAAGGAATAAAAAGCAATGACAAAAGTAATTAAACTTATAAGAAGTTCTATTTCTGCTTTTAGAGATGTTTTTAGCATTTTTTCTATTGCTTGGTATTTCAAACTTGTCTATATAGTTAAACGGGTTATACTTGATATGTATATACTTCTGAGACTTTTTGACACTTTATGTATGTCCTCCTTAGCTAAAGCAAGTAGAGATCTGCTATTTTACTGTAGTTTTCCCCAAATCTGTAATAAAAAGGCACCTTGCCTTAGAAAATTCTATTTTAGTTATTTGCAGAAGACTGTGACAATCCAATTCTTAACCTAAGCAATGCCATTATTTTTATTTATTACCAAGGCCACTTTGAAAGAGGCAAGGACAGTGAGTTAATGAAGGACGGCCATCATGCTGGCTCCATGCACTTGGCCTTCTGGCTGACTAGAGGTTGGCAGAAAGAAATATCCTTAATGAGGCAGATACAGCAGTGCTTAGAAAAAAGATGCAAAATACCTTCACACCACTGAGTATGTTAAACTTATACCAAGGTGCTCTGAAGCTGTGAACACTTTCCAACACCCACCCCACAGTTAAGCACCTTTTACATGGGATATTAAAGTCAGACACACAGCAGGCTGACTAACAGAATGACTTTTTTAAAGCTGGCCCCAGGAATAGGGAAGACGTATTTTAAAACAGGAGTGCAGCCTGGGATCGGGGGGAATCACTGGCTGCCAGGGGCCACACAGGGCTCTAGACATCTGTGGAGCAGGAAACAAGCAAAAGATAGGAATTATGCAAAGCAAAAGGAGTAAAGGTACCCAAAAGAAAATTTGATGCTCAATTATCATAGATGCACCCGGCATATCAGTTTCAATCATGTTTCCAAAGCCACATGGCAACACATTACCAATTCTGTGTCAGAGTAACAATTATTTCAGAGGACGCCAAACTTCAGCTCTGCCACTTGCAGAGCCAAAAGCAACACCACACCAGTGTGTATGCCACGACTCTCACTTCCATTCATTCCCAAGTTTGGAAGGGAGGCAGATAAAAGGCAACCAGGCAAGAGATACGTCTGCATGCTCCCCCTGTCTCCCCACAACCAGACACCCATCTTCTCAGTGACCCACATGTGCTGCCACGGGAGATAGTCCGCAGCAGACACCAAGGGTCTCTGGGGTCAGGATTCCCAATCCGAGCTTGGGGTAGAACCCGGGTCTTCTGACTTCCCACTCTTTCTGTCTTATTAAGAATTTTAAAAACTAAGTTACACTCATAATTAAAAAGTCCTATTTAGTGACTGCAAGAGAAGCATTCACTATTTTTGCAGTTTTCATAAAAAATTTCCAAACACTTAAAAAACAGGAGTGCTGAAAATTGCAATGGCACATTTTCAAAACTGCTCACGGTAATAAGCAGCTGAATCGGGTAGACGACGAGAAAGTTTCAGCTCAAAACTGAGTCACGTGCAATCTGTTGCCTGTAGTAGGCTCTACTCACAGCAGCTCAGAGCTGAACCATGTACCGAGTTTCTTTTCTTATTCTTCCTTTCCAGACTCCAGAGCTCACACAAGTGTTCTTTAGGTCTAAGAGCTTTACTCTACTTATTTATTTATGTATTTTCTGTTCATGTGTTCATTCACTCACTTATGCACCTGACAGCAGCATCAGTGTGGTAAGAAATACCACTCTAAGTGAATCAGTAGGGAGGTCTGCCTCGCTACTGTCTGGCAGTGGTAAATCTTGTTCCTATAAATTGTTAAATATCTGCCTACAACTAGATTTCCTATATGCTGGTATGTTTTGGGCCAACCCTTAGAGATATGCCATTACTGGGAAAACTGAAATCGTATTGGCTAAGTCATCAAAAGGTAGAGATGCCAAGCTGGGGCTTAGACACACCTAATGAATGGAATGGGGGGAAAAAAGGGGGGGAGGAGTCAGCAGGCGAGAAAACTGTAGCGCCCTGAGTAATGAATGGTTCCAACTACGTTTGAAGTAGTAGCCTGAGCTGAGAGGGCTTGGGGCCAAGGTGCTCTTCTTCGTTAATTTAAGAGTAGTCTTCAGAGTGAAACACACAGATTAACGTGTACTCTTTGGTCAAGTGCATATCCCTGTGTAATCCATCGTCCTGTCAAGACATGCAACATTCCGGCACCCCACTGAGTTTCCTGGTTCCTCATGTCCATTATATATACAACCTTGTATCCCTACTAGTCATTTCTTGAATTCCAAACACCATTTTAATTTTAATCTTAAAAAGAAAAGCACCTACATAAGACAAGAATGAGTATGATCATCAGGGTGATATACTCAGTGTCAGAACACAGCATGAAGCACAAGATATAAGCTTTGAGTTATCTTTACTATACATTGTGATATTAATGTAAAATATTTTAAAATAAAACATTTAAGGAAAAATATCTGATATGCTAAGTCACTTAAAACCAGTTTATCACAAATTTCAACCCATAAATCCCTAAAACTTTTACTGCCTCTGCGTCAGAAAAGCCAACGGAAAGTTTTCACATTCAGAACTTTAAATGCCATGAAGAAATACAGTTGATGCACTTGTGTGGGAACAGATGACAACTTCTGTTATATTTATTTATCTTCCTTTTAAAATCGCTTTTGCATGTGTTTTGTGATGTGCATTATATTGTATTTCAGAAGTATAAGTTTCTTTATAGGTTGTAAACTTATCAAAGTTTTAGGGGTGTTTATAAAAACAGTTCTATTGACAAGAACGAAAGCCTCAGAGGCGGAGAGCACTGCTCCAGCGGACTGGCCAGCTTCGGTGAAGGTGAGGGCGGGCTCACACATGCAAGCGGACCCTCAGGGGAGTGAATACCTTAAGCAAGGATTGCTTATGACTTTCCCGCTTCTTCTCTTCCTCCTTTTTTGCTACAACAGATGCCATACGCCTTTCTTCTTCCTAAAAAAATTTTTAAAGAGAATTAAGTATTTAACCTTTTCTTATGCTAAGTATCTTTGGTTCTACACACCTGGTTTTCTTTGTGAGAGACATGTTACTTAGCCAGTAGAAACTATGCCCTCAAAAAAACATTAGCATGTTCTTTATTTTCTTCTTTCCTCCGAATTGTACACAATCTACATTCTTAACTCTACCCCTACCTCTGGAGGTGAGATAAATCTAGCTAACACAAGAGAGAGAAAAAGGGAGAAGAGGAGAAGAAAGAGAGAAGCAGGTGTGTGTGAGTTTTCTCTACACCGAGCACAACAGTGCCGCACAGAAAGGCTTAAACTTTCTACAGTGACGATCAGAAGGAGCAAAATAACACTCGAATGATTCTGATTTATGATTTAAAATTAGAGTTTTTAAATGATAAAACAAGAGTGAAAGCTGAAAGCCTTTTAAAACCTCTTTGTTGAAATTCATAATTCTCTAGTAATATCATTAGTTTGTTTTTAAATTGATTTGGCCAGTCTAATTTCTTAAATTCTAAAATCTGTGAAATAACATTATAGATGGTTTAGAAAAAAAATTTTTTTAAGACTTTATTTATTTTGAGACAGAGGGGAAGGGAGGAAGAGAGGGAGGGAGAGAAACATCGATGTGTGACTGACTGCCTGCCGAGTGCCCCTCAACTGAGGACCTGGCCGGCAACCCAGGCATGTGCCCTGACTGGGAACAAACTGGGGACCCTTTGGCCAGCGCTCAATCCACCGAGCCACACCAGCCAGTGCTGACAATTTAGAAAATTTTAAAAATCAGTCCTAATCTGAACACCCTTACTCAAATCTTATCATTTCTGTATGGAATATAGTTATTCTTATGTAAGGCTAAATGAGGATAATGAGGAGAAAGAAACTAAATAATATTAAAATATTGACTATGAACAAATTTTTAAAAGTTGCAATCTGTATACACAGTTTTGATCATGCTTTCCCCCTGACTGTCAAATTTTAGCAGAGTAAATGATAACCATGTAGCCTTTAATTTTTATTATCAAAAAATTTGTAGGCACTCGAAATTATGTCACAATTTGAGAGAAAAATTTCATCATAAAAGACAAACTTGAAAATATCTTCAGATAGGAAACTATAAAAAGTAATTCAACACACTTGAAGGAGAACTCTTTTAAGAATAAACATTTACAAAAACTGAAATGAAAAATTCAGTGGGGGTGGTGGTTTGCAGAGCAGACTTTATACCGCTGAAGAGAAAATCAAATGACTGAACAGTGGGTCAGAGGAAGGTTTCCCACGAGCTTTCGAAGCTCCCTGTACTTCCCTTTGACAACGTTTAGCCGGTTCCACTTGACACTACTTCCCTCTCCTACCCCAAAATGTTCCCTAAAGGTACAGACCATGTCAACTCCAAGCACACAGTAGATATTTAATAATTATATATTTAAGGAGTGAATTATTGTATATACATATTTATAAATTTGTTCATTAGTTACCTACAACTGGAACTGCTAAATAAAATGATAGACATATTTCCAGGGCTTTTGATATGCTTACAAATTTCCCTCCATAAAGGTAGTACTAATACTCCTCACCAGAAGTCATCATTTTATTTAAAACATAATAAATAGTCATAAGAGCTATCTCCCCACATCCAGGCCACATTGTAAGACAGTACTTTGTGCCCTCTTGAAGCCAGGTGTGGTCACTGACTTGCTTCGGCCAATGCCACATGAACAAAAGTGACATGTGTTAACTCCTAGGTGGAAGCTTTCAAACACAATGTATGACACAGCTGTTCTCTCTCTGGCCTCTGCCACGGACTCTGCGAAGTTCCTGATGGCGGGCACTTGAAAGGCCTTGGTCCTGGAATAAGGACGACACGCAGAGAGGGGCCCAGGCTGTGTCCTATGGGCAGACTGGCATGAACCTGAAGTAAACTTCAGTACTTTACTCCACTGAGGTTAGAGAAGTCATTACTGCAGCATAATGTGTCCTATCTTGACCAGTACATCTGTGATCATCTGTTATACTAGAATAAAAGAAGGTCAAATGTATTCTAGAGGATAGCCATTATAAATGTTTCTGAAGACAAAGACAGACCTAGACTAAAGAAATATATGGAACATGCACACAGAGAAACTATTACAGAGTTAAAAAGGGAGCTAGAAATACACCCACCGACAGTCTCCGATCTCAGGAATAGGAAGATGGATGCTCTGAGAAGTTTAGCATTTACACAAGGTCACATGGCTACAAAACCAGAATCAGGACCAGCAGCCATGTCTTACAAGAAACGGAATTTGTGTGCCCTGGCTGGTGTAGCTCAGTGGACTGAGCGTGGGCCTGCAAACCAGACAATCGTGGTTCCATTCCCAGTTAGGGCACATTCCGGGGTTGCAGGCCGGTTCCCTGCAGGCCAGATCCCAGCAGGGGACGCACAAAAGGCAACCATACATTGATGTTTCTCTCCCTCTCTCCTTCCCTTCCCCTCTAAAGATAAATAAATAAAATCTTTAAAAAAAGGAACGGAATTTGTTGTCTCTTTTATAATAAGGGCATATCTAAATGTATTTTACTGATTTTAGAGAGATGAAAAAGTTGAGGTTAAAATTCAGTAGTGATATGCCATAGGATTTAGTTGTTTAAAAGGGAACAGAAATTTAATGCGATTTTTGGTGAATTTAAAGGTCTTTTACAATATGGAATTAGTTTTTCTTAATGTGAGGCTGGCTAGAGGTAATGAGAAACAATAAACTAAATAAAAAATTCAGAACCTTTATTCCTAGCTTCACAAAGTAGCTGGACTAATAATTAAATTCTTCTGTTTAGTAAATACTGATTTGCTACCTATTAAGTATAATCTGTTTCAGAACAAACTTTTTAAAAAGCAAATTATACTGATGTTCAATTGTTGACCCATCTACAAAATGTGAACCAGAGACAGGCCGGTTACTGCAGGAGCCAACTCCAAACAGTCCTGGAGGCTGTATGGAGCACGCACTGCACATACTGAAGAGGTGATTCCATCGGATTTTCTAAAAGAATTCCAGCTTCTATTGAAGGCAGTAGGACTTTAAAAGGAAAGCCCAGCCTAGGAAAACTGGATGCATGCCACATCAATTCAAATACTGAGTGTTTTAAGGAATTTATATATCTGATGACTGTATTTCAGCCCAAATAATTATAGAGTAACTAAACTTAGAAACAAGAATATACCTCTAATTTTAAAGATAAGCTATAAATCTGTTGGTAAGAGTAGAAAACAGAAATTCTGGCATCTTCATGTTAATAGTTCAATTTCTGGGATAAAAGCCATATCCTTTATATAGCAAATGAAAGAGATGTAGTTGGTACCAAAAAAAAAAATCAAACTTTTCCATACTTCGGTTGTCATGAAGACCTATTACAGGAATGATTTCAAATTAATTAAGAAGTGTAGTGATTTAATAGGTGTTTTGATAACTTGGGTTATCTGTTAGCAGATTATTAAGGCCTTAAAACAATGCATATATTATATGAGAAGTTTTGTTCCAAACTAAACAAAATGATCCTAATACAAGCAGCAATTTGTGTGGAATTAAAAAAGTCAATGGTACTGTGGGCTTTTAACCAGAGTTAAAAATAATAGAACAGACAGAAAATACATTGTTTTCTTTGACTATGTCAAGTGTTAAAACAGACTTTAACATCACAGTTTTTGTCTAGAGAAGATGGTCCATATTTTTCATTCAAACAATCTTGTGTTACAGAGAAAAAATGATTTTCCTGGGGTCACAGTTCACGGCAGAGTGCAGGAACACTGGCTGCCCTGTTGCCCAACTGCCACTGGCCCAGGGAAATCAGCCGTTAACTACCGAGGGGCGAAGCCAGGATGGGCTAGGTTATGCTGTTACAACAGCTTCACAACTCACACCAGCTTACATTATGGAAAGTTCACTTCCTGGTCACGCAGAGGGCACTACACCTGCCCTGCACGCCATGGCTCAGTGTTCCCATGTGTCGTGATCTGATGGCATCTTCAACCCATCACATGTTCCGCAGTGACCAAGGAAGAAAGGCATGGGAATCACACACTGGTTTTTAAATGCTTCCGCCTGGAAATTATATACATAACTTCTGCTCACATTTCACTGGCAAAAGCAAATTGCATGAACACACCTAACTGCAAGAGGAAAGGAAATACCATCTTTCCACATGCGAAAAAGAGGACGAGAATCAGAATGCATTGGTAAGCATTAGTAACAGTGACCACATCATCATTTCTGTTTCAGATAGGCTATTCCACCTTTTAGAGAGCAAATTATAAATCAGTTCATATTAAGCCAACTAAATGTGGGTTTCACGTGAAAACTTTAGACATTGTATCTGTTTCAGAATTGTGGACATACTACCTACATTCACAAAATACTGCCTTAGAAATAAAAAGGAGAAAATTCTGCCTCCCAGAATTTTCTATACAATGGTCCTTGTGTCAGCCTTTCAAAATGTCTTTTCTCTTACTGGACGGTCATGAAAATATCTAAAGACCTGTACTACCGTTCTTATTTTTCCTTTGTCAATAAATCATGCCAGGTTTTCTGGAAAACTCCAGTTTGTCTCATCATTAAAGACTATTGTCTCCATTGTTTCTGGATCCTCTATTTCTATAAATGAATTCTTTTTCAAACCATGTTAACTTCTAATAATCACATCTCACAACTCAATTTGAACATATCAATTCCAAGGCTAGTTTTCTTTCTCATCTCTCTGCATTTGGGGTGAGAACTGTTTTACTTGATGTTGTGGAGTCAAGTTCAGAATGTTTAATTTATCTATTTTTTATCTTGCTAAATTCTATTTATTTTACTAGACTAGAGGTTAGCAAACTTTTTCTGTAAGGGCTAGATAATGAATATTTGAGGCTTTCTGAACCACATAAGATCTCTACTGCATATTCTGTTTTTCTTTTCTTTTTAAATACAATGCTTTAAAATATAAAAACCATTCTTCACTTGAAAGCCA